AGTGATTCAGCATGTATGTAATGTTGCAATAAATCAGACCGTATAGCTAGAGCATAATCGGTAGTTTCCTTGCGCGAAACCGCATTTTTATGTTCTGAGCTGGGTCAGCTTCTATCAGGCAGCAGTTTCACCCTTGGCTCCCGTTGAAGGCATCAGATGGTTTCCCAGATTGCTCGCTGATCTGTTGCTATTGAACTCATTCACATCCTCAGCACTATAACGTGCTGGATAAGCATGGCTTCTGGAACCCTCTCTGGCATCTTTCTGCAACCACATATTCGAAAAGGGTATTCATGAGTAAATACGTCTATCGATTTGGAGGAATCATTTCTCCAAAGGAGTGACCCGAATTAGAACCTTGTGAAGGAAATGGGTGTTTAACCACAATTAAGATATACCAAGTTTGAGCGCAGTTCGGCTTGTAGGGACTTCTTGCCGATTTCCGTCGACCGCTGCTGATACCTCTTAAGGAGGACCTATCAATTCCTATGCAACTGCAGCAATAGCGGGAGCTTTCTTTACACTTCACAAGAGTCTAGAGATCTGATAAGATGAGAAGTAAATAAGTTCAACAGGAACTAGCGGAAGCGCTAAAGCCCCCCTTCCCTTTAGCGTAGCTGCGCTAAAATCCATTTTATGAGCCCTTTTCTTAATGCATCGAACACTGCTGAATCTCCCCTTTCATTTTCTGATCGGTGGCTCTTTTGATTGGAAGAATGTGAATGAAAGTTGTTAGAGTTCTGTAAATGCATATCAGTAATGAAGCTTTGTGTACACATGCAGCAGTCCCTCTCCAAACACCACGTTCGGTCGTCTAAGCGATAAATTTGGCATGATAAGTCCCTTATCAATGCATTATCGGTGCTATCAAACACAATCCGACTCATCGAAACGCACAACTGAACGTATCGATTGAGAAGACATACCTTTGCAAACTAGTTCAAAGAGATGTCGATTACAAACTAAAGGGAAAAGTTCAAAAGGGAGAAAAGAGAAAGAGCCTCTAAACGAAAGGCATCAAAAAGAGCGACAAGCGGCAGTTCTGCTGAAGATCCTGAAATTCTGCTAAGATCCTGACAAAGTAATCTCATACTTTGCCCCATAATTCATTTAATTGCCACCAGAGTTTACATCAGCCTTCGCGATTGATTGGATGTTGTGGAAATTTACAGGGAAAAACACAGGGTTAGGTTAGTTGTTAGTAATTTTGTGGATCGTGCACGACACTCATTTGAGGCCGCAAATGACGGGCGTAAAGCCCACGGCTTTTAGAGGAAACTTCTTCCCAGAGACCATTAGCTCAAGAAAGTTGAAGTAACAGTGGTCGACTGACCCACTTCTTTGGATGCGTTACTACCCAACACTCGATCAGAATATTTCTAGCTCGCCAACCAGACCTACGAAATGATGTAAAGGAGTGCAGTGGCAATCAGTCCGTGTTTTTAACCTCCCAAGGATC